ATCTCTTTGATTAGAAATGATATTGTTAAATCTGAACTACACATTAAGCGTACATCTCAGTAAAAGATGCTTCAGATAATCAGTCGGCAATTCATTTAGTGTTCATGCATTTTAGATCGATGTTATCACATAGAAGGGAGACAAGTTCTCCTGTGATAATCACAGAGGGATTAGCTTGACTAATATAGTGTCTGAAGTCCTAGGCTCAATAATCATGCGTAGACTAAGTGGTGCTCGGGAGGAACAAACACGTGAGAACTAGGCAGGCTTTAGATCAGGAAGAGGGTGTATTGATCATATCTTCACCCTCCGACAGATTCTAGAACATAGACATTCCTACCAGTGGCGTCCAACAATCATTATATTTCTTGACCTAAAGGCGGTATTCGATTCTGTCGACCGAGAGGTTTTCTGGAGATGCTTGGCTGTAAAAGGAATGACGAGAAAATACATTGCACTGATCAAGTCACTCTACTCGTACTCATGCAGCCAGCCAGGTGAGGGCGTACGGCGAGTTATCATCTGAAATGGTGACGACTAGTGGTGTCCTTCAGGGATGCCCACTACATCCATTTCTATTCAATTTCATCATAGATGTACTCATCGACTTAACTCTAACTCACTTCAGAGACTCAGGGATTGACTTCCTGCCACCAGGGAATAATCTCGTTGACTTAGATTATACAGACCATATATTCCTTCTAGGCGAGGACGCTGACAAAATGAAGCAGAGTCTTCTAAACACCTTGAGTTGCAAGCTACGAATGTTTGGCATGCGATTCGCTCCTGCTGTCAAATGTAAGATGATGTTACAGGATTGGACTGGACCACACTGACTCACTGCTAGTTTAGCAATAGGAAGTGAAGCGGTAGGGCACGTTGACCGCTTCACTTAATTGAGAAGTACCATCAACCTCAACCGGTTAATTTCTGACGAAATCCCAGCTGAGTACGGATAGAGAGGGCTAGTTTCGCATATTCCAGTTTACGCCGTCTCTGGCGTAGACGTGACATCTGACTATTGACCAAAGGGTGGGTGTACTGCTCATCAGTCTGCTCCGTCCTTGGCTGTGACTGAGACCTGGCCATTGAGAGTGGAAGACATGAAAAGCCTGGCTGGCTAGCTAGCTGTCTTTGATCATAGGTGCCTAAGCTCTATTTCCAGGGTGAAGTGGTATAATAAAGTGAGCAATATTGAGGTGAGGGATCGGTCGAGTTCTAGGTTAGCAGGGGAAATCAATCGACGAATTGAGATGATTTGGACATGTGTTACGTATGCCTAGCCATCGCCTTCCTCGACGGGTAATGTTAGCTGATATAGGGTCAGGCTGGAAAAGTGAGAGCTAGCGGCGGTCAAACCAAAACACAGCTTCATCAGTCAACGAAATCTACAAAAGTTAGCTTAAGTCACGTAGGAAGGTGTAGACTTCCTGGTTGGGGTCCTCGGGACAGTAAAAACCAACGGTTGGAAGCAATTGGTGACATGGCTAAAAATCGTCCTCAGTGGCGGAGATGCATCCACTCTTTGTGACTTATGATTTCCAATGAAACTATATTGTTCTTCGTTATTACTATTCCTTTGTCTCACACCTCTCTTTACTGTCTCTAATATGCATTTCTTCCTACTTTCTTCTCTTACTTTGTGTGGTACAAGGAGGGAGTGTAGCTTCTTGAACTGGTGCACATATGTGCAAATTTCTATGTAGAAAACAGACGGACAGACAATAACATAGATTACAAATAGTTTCTACTTACGGTACATTTGTAAATTAAAAGGTAAACATCTAATGAGATCACAGAATTTCAGCGAGCCATTTATCTGTAGAATGATAAGGGGAGTTCAACATATCCAGATACACGCTTAATATACAGTTTACATGTAGCAATGTCATTTCTAATCAAAGCGATGAAATCAACATCGAATGGATCTCCATTAGGACCTTTCCCTTAGCGGATGTCTTCATGCAAGCTTAGAGTGTGTGGTCTGTTGTAAGAAGTTATCTCGGAGTTCGCATATTTGTAAGACATATTAGCTTTATTATTATTTGTAACAACAATTGTTCAAATGCTGAGCTTCTTGACAAAAATAATTGTGTTATAGCAATCATTACTGTTATTCTTGTTTTACTTTACACTCCTAATTAATTGATAAAATGTAGTGTGTACTTAAGTGTAGTGTAGTGTACTGTGATAAACAGTAGGGAATTTGTAACAGGTTACATACATGATAGAGTGATTGATTTAAACAAAACAATGGGTAGCAAAACATTTTGTATATTGTGTATGTCAATCACTTTCCCCATTTCTTATCGGTTTCTTGTTTAGAACAATTAAATAGTTTTTTTATTATAAAAAAAACGTGAATATAGCTTTTATAGATATTGAAGCGTTTCTTAGATTTATTCAAATATATCTAAACATATATACATGCAGATGGGGTAGTAACTCATCGAAGAAGATATTGCGAAGTAGTGGCGCTATTTCCTGAGTTGACAGAAGTTAGAATTCATGGGCTAGCTATTGGATTGGATCCTGGTGGCTTAGTGGTCTACGAGCTCACTCGCCTTGTAACCAGAAGGTTCTGGGTTCGAACCAACTGTTCTGGGTGCGTGTCGATGAAGAGTCCCAAATAGGGACGAAACACCTGTCTAGTACTCCTTGGTGGTTTTCCCTGAATAATTAGTTGGCAAAAACTGGATTTTGTGGTCATTATGCCTTTTTTTGTTTTTGAATTGAGTTTCTATCACAGGTTTCAGTTAATTGCCTTTTTTTTACCATCTGGATTTCTTTTATTGAGATTAAAAATAGTTTTTTTTTTCCATAAAAGCAATAATGTTTTTAGGGTTTGCCATACACGAAAAAGTCACATATATTTTGAAATATTGTATAATCTCCCCGCAAACATTGCTATTCTGTTGATTGTATCGATTTATTCCTGATATTGTTGAAGAGTATTATCACGTGTGTAGATAGTCCTTTATAGTGTTTGCTTTCTGGAATAATCACCGCTGTTGTTTTAAGTCAATGGGATGCGGGAGGGTCATACACCTGGAAATTATAGTTAATTTGATCTGACCTATCGGGTTTTGTTAATACCCAATTATGTTATTATTGTTATTATTTTTCTCTTGAGTTCCGGGTGGAGCATAGGTCTTCAAAAACACATCTCCACTGTTTTCCATTCTCTTTGGTCCTCTTTAGATGGCTGATCGACCCCACGATTTCCCATAATTCTTCCCGTGGTACGCCTGCTATGCCCCATGACGCAAATAGAAGAAGTGACTGACTGACTGACTGACTTGACATAGGTGTTGAAAATCTGAATCTTGTTTTTTTTTATGCTGGTTAAGTGAGACTAGAAGTTTTTCAAACTGGTTTCATGTTAATGAAGGTGTAACTCGCCTTTCCAATGCTGTCTGGCTTTTACATCCTCACCCGTGGTGCCGCTTATGGTTGAAAAAATGTCTCCTAGCCAAATGAGTCAAGAAAGTTAGCTTTTTCAAATTCCCCCCCCCCCCCTCCTTCGAAAGTGATTGGTGGTGATTGTTACTACTACTGCTGTTGGTTGGTTGGTCGGTTGGTTATCTTCATCACCTCCGTCTCCATTTTCTCTATGTTCAACTGCAGTCATGTGTCTTCGCTGCCAGCTTCTTCTTCCAATTACGTGCGTTGGTGGCACAGCGTGTAGGACTCTCGCTGACCATACACATGGTCCGGGGTTCATATCCTCTGTTGTACCAAAAATACAGTGTGAAATGAAACTAAAGTCGAAATTAAAAAAAAATAAAATAAAATATCTAAATATTTCCATAGTATGTTCATTTGATGTACAAACATCTCTATACTACTTATTGTTTGTTAAATATAAGTAGTCTGTCTGTCTGTTTTCGACATAGAACTTTGCACAAATGTGCGGAAGTTCAAGTCGCCACATTCCGTGTAGCACGCGAAGCAAGAGAAGAAAGTACAAGAAAAGCATAATAGAAACAGTGAGCAGAGGTGTGAGACAAAGGAGAATAAAGAATAACAAAACAGTTTCATTGGAGATCATAAGTCACAGGGAGTGGATGCATCTGCGCTAGCCACTGAGAACGATTTTGAGCCATGTCACCAATTGTTTCCAACCATAGACTTTTACCGTCCCGAGGACCCCAGCCTGGAAGTCTACACCTTCCTATGTGGCTTGGACCAACTGTTGTGGATTTGATTGACTGGTGAGGCCAAGTTTTTGTTTGACCGCCGCCAGCTTTTTTCCAGCCTGACCCTACAACCGCTAACATTGCTCGTCGAGGAAGGCGATGACTTGGCATACGTAACACATGTCCTAACCATCTCAGTCTTTGTAGCTTCACGACTTCGTCGATTGATTTCCCCTGTTTACCTAGCACTCGACACCTAACCTCAATGTTGCTCACCTTATTATGCCACTTTACACAGGAAATAGAGCGCAGGCACCTATGATCAAAGACAGCTAGTCTTTTCATGTCTTCCACTCTCAGTGGCCAGGTCTCACAACCATAAAGGAGGACGGATCGGACTGATGAGCAGTAGACCCGCCCTTTGGTCGATAGTCGAACATCTCGTCTACGCCAGAGTCGGCGTAAACTGGCAAATGCGAAACGAGCCCCCTGTATCCGTACTCAGCTGAGATTTCGTCAGAGACACACCCGTTGGCGCTGGCTGATGCAACTTCCCAAATAAGTGAAGCGGTCAACGTGCTCTACCACTTGACTTCCTATTTTTAAACTAGGCGTCGATGTAGTCCAGTCCTGTATCATCATCTTGCATTTGGCGGGAGCGAATCGCATGCCAAACATTCGTAGATTTCTGCTCAAGATGTTTAGAAGACTCTGCAAATATAAGTAGTATCGAAGTATCTTTTCATATTAACTTTTTTGTTATTGTTTAAAATGAAAATTGACTTGGAAATACTTTTCAATACTTTTCTTTCCTTTTCTTCCTATTTTTTCTTCAATTTTACCATCCCATCACATATCTAGTTTCTGTACGAAAATTATTTGATGATGAATCCCCATTGGGTTTATTATTCAAATGGGCTGAACAAGATCCAAGCAATTTTAATAATATTCTCAGTGTTAAACGATTAGTACTACAAGAAAACGAAACTGGTGATATTGAAGTAAGCTGATGATGGATGGATTCATTAGAATTCCTCTAATCTCTCTTTTTTTTTAATTTTTGCTTTTTCCTTTCTAAACTAGTTATTCAAAGTTATGTACTGTACTGTATTGTACTGCTTCAGTTTTATGCATGATATATGTATACAGCTTATTCATTTGTTATTCCTTTTAGTCGCCAATATATTTCTGCTTACTTAGGTAAGTTTTGTGTGTGTGTGTGTGTGAGTAGTTCAGCGGTAAACTGCTCGCTGTCCAACCACTTCTCAGGTGGTTCGGAGATAGATTCTGGGCCGACGCCACTCCTCAACCTCGCTAAGGCAGTAATAATGTGACAACAGAAGACAAGGGTCAGGCAACGGGATCCTTTTATTACGGAAATCAGCACATATATATATTTCAGCTACATTATTATGGCTTTATTAAAGCAGACAAACACAGTCTCCTGATTGGTTTCTCGGAAAGTTAAGCCATATATATACCTGCGAATCGCATTTGCCCACGTTAAGTCTGCTGTGATTGGTTGTTGAATCAGCCTTATGCATATTTTCTCACGGCCAATATTAGTGACCTAGACATCGATGTAAATTAATTGGCTACCAATTGGCTAGCAGCCTGCTCTCATCACAATAAGACTGGTAAAGAGGGAAATTTGTACGTGAGGCTAACAGCAACCCTATCTCGTAAAAATAAAAAATAAAAACACCACTGCTACTGAAACTTTGAAGTTCTAGCTCGAAACCCTCTATGTTCCACTGGGGAACGTAAAGGAATAAAATGAATAACAATAATAATAGGATAGTATAGTGTCGCTGGGCAGTCCCTGGTTTTCATGTCTAATTCATCCACCTCTGGTTAGTTGTTTTCTCTGAAATGATTGATTTCAACCGCTAAGCTTTTGTTATCGCGTTCTAGACAACATCTTCAGCACAGTCTTTTTTTTAAATAAGCGTTTGTTTAATACTGTTTCGTTAAAATAACTTGTTTGTCGGTAGTTGGATGGTTGAATGTTCATCAATAAGGTGGGGTTGGTTCGAGTTTAATTCTCAGCTAACTCATTCTTAAAACTTCACCTAGTGTCCAAGGTGATAGCGCGCCTGAAGAAGAGGTTGCGGGGGGGGGGCGGGGCTCTTTCGATGTACCACGTTTCATTTTATTCTGTGTTCAGTTTTTTTCTTCAATATTTTAACTTGAGAGATTAGAGTTGTTGTAACAATTAGAACATGTAATACTCTTTGTTAAGTGCTAAGCGTATTGATTACCACTTGAAAGTGAATAGGTTGCAAGCAATGTAGGTAAATAAAGAGATTACTTTAAATACCATACCTCATTCATGTATATACAAATATATATTAACTACACGGATAATCAACCGACCCTGGTTCACAAGCCAGCTAGATTTCTAGCAGTTCCCTAGACGGTTAAAGCCCTAAAAAAGAGGGACTGTTGGGCGTGGGACTAGCGATCCTACTCCCAGAAAATCAATCAAACTGTTACAGAAACTTCAACGCACAAGAAAAGTGTTAAAAATACAGAAAATATAAAAAACAAACTTATTCTCCCCTGGAATAATCCAGTAGGCTAGTGAAAGCCTTCGGGAAGCCAGTCAGCCAACTGGTGTCTTCTCTCGATGAAAGCAAGAATAAGAATGTGGGGATGTAGAATGTTCTGACATTGTACGAGGCTGGCTGGGAAGGCTGCCCAAGGAACCAAAGAAACTAGAAGGTATGGTATAAAGTACTGAATGTAGTGGATGTGAAGTGTCAAAATTATTAGCTAAAGAGTCAGTAATCTATTCATCCAGTCATCCACCCAGACGACAACCACAAGAACACCGAAGGAGTGAGTGGCTATAACTACAGGCAACTACAGACAGGGGGAACTGATGAAGATGTTAAGACCGGTCGGAATCGGAAACTTAAGATACTCATCAAACTGAAACCAGGTGTGGAATAAATGTAGACGAAAAGACAGAAATGTTTGCTTATATATTTTCTTTCAGTGTAGTACAGATTCAAGGAATCTTTATATATATTTCATTTTATTTATTTTCATATAACTCCTCATATATTTATTATTATTTCTTTTAATTCCTAGAGGAACATAGGGCTTCAGCCGACCACGTCTCCATTGCGTTCGGTTCTCTGCCAAAGTTTACACCTGGCTCCAAGTCTGCCGACATGCTTTCATCTCCTCTTCACATGACCTCCTCCAAGTCACCCTTGCAGTGACGACCAACTCGCCGCTTCCCTTTCGGGTTCCACTCGAGCAATGGCTTGTCTAGTGATGTCACTTGATGGTTTGTTTTCTCAGAGAATGACCAATCCAATCCATCTCCATTTCTTCCTGTCTATTTGTTGCACAATCGGTTCCCGCTGGGTTGGTTCGCTCATTGCCAGAGATCCCTGTTGGTGATCTTTTCTGGCCGGCCATCTTGAGTAGTACTGAGCGAAGATAGTTGTTAATGTAGGTCTGTAGATTGTTTGAGGTGCTCTTTATGACGCGCCAGGCCTCTGATCCGTATGGTAAGTAGCACTGACTTCACATTGGAGTTGAAAATTCGGATCTTATCTTTGATGCTGAATGCTGTTGACCTCCACACAGACTTGAGAGTAATAAAAGCTTGTCTTGCTTTTCCGATCCTCACTCTGATATCTTCATCAGTTCCATCCGTCTGTAGTTGAAACGATGCTTCCCAGGTAGGTAGGTAAGGGAGGTTGTTTCTTTCAGGTTCCTCCCATCATGCTGGCCTGACTGTTGTCTGTTGTTGCTGTTGTTGTTGGCCAGGAATCTTCATCACCTCTGTTTTCTCTATGTTCACCTGAAGTGAAGCCCTATCTTTGATACTTCTTCTGCCAACTTGTTGCTTTTCACTTGCATATCTTCCAGTTTGTGGGTAATCAGACATATGTCACGCCGGTGCAGTCCAAGTTTTTTGTGTAGATCCATATATATATTTTTACACTTGTATTCTATTCCCCTCCCCCCTCATTTTAAAATTTTTTTGTCTTTTTCAGTGGTCCACATTCAGTTTATCTGAATTGCATACATTCCTTGGTATATTGAATCGTGAAGAAAACGATTATCGTCGACGTATTGAAATGAAGTATGAAATACGCAGGAAAGAAATAAAACGTCTAATGGATTTACGTTTGAATGAAATGAAATCCTCTGAAATTGACGTTAGTAATGCTCCCTCGACTACAAGTGTTGAACCATCAAAAAATATTATTTCTGAATCGTACAATGCTGAAAACAATAGTGATAATAATCATAATTATAATAACAGTAATGATGGTAATACTCACTCACCAGAAGAACATGTATGCAGAAGCACAAAACCTAATGTATATTCTCCTATGGATTCAATGTCTGCACCAGTTTCACCGACTATGTTCCGTAAAAATGAAAATCAATTAAAACTGGAAGGTAATCTATTGGTTATATCCTTCTTCTTTTTCTTTTGGTTCCTACGTGTTGATTTTTTTCCACCATGAAAGGTCATTCTCATCGTGAAGGTCTGACAAGAAAGGATTGGATAGTTTAATAAAATAGGCTTATAATATAATAAATTTTGCAATTAAAGGATTGATTTTTAGGCATTTGATTGATTGGTTACAGGATTTCATCATGAGTTGATATTGGTTAAGGAAACCATTGGAAAACCAGTAGGGAGTACTGCCAGGTAGCTAGTTGTTTCGTCAGCCTAGTTTGGGATTGACTCTTCAGCAGTACGCACCCACCACATGAGTTCGAGCCCAGAACCTTCCGGTTACAAGACGAGCAACCTTGTAGACTGTTCAGCCATAGGAACCCCACCGATCCAATGATCAGCCAGTCCATGTATTCCAACTTCCTCTGATTGACGCATGATATAGTGCGACTGACACTAGCTATTGTCATTTTTAGCGAGTATTTGTCTTCACACTCGATCTGCTGTGTAACCCCACTAGTCATGACTTTCCACTAGAACCCACGGAGATACCTACCTGCCTACCTACCTACCTACCTGAATAGTTCCAGTCGCTAGTGAGCATCTCATCGATATTTAAGTATCCCAAACTAAGAAGAAACAACTGTCCAGTACTCCTTGTGGCTGGTTTTCTAATGGTTCTCTAACCAATGTCAGCTCATGTGATGAAATCCTGTAACCAATCAATCAAATCCCTACAAACCAATACTTAAATAGCTATCCAGTGTATTAGAGACCCGTCGCTAATTGATATGACCACGTTGACAATTGATATTGACCGAGTGGGCCGATACGTGTGCATTATAATAACACTTACTCAATGAACACAACTCAACTGTGATATGCTTAATAAATGCACACATAATGCGTCTATGGTACCTTGCCGACTTCACTGCGCTGCGCGCAAATATTTAAAGACACTGGCATGTAACTGTTACGATACAGTTTTGCTACGAAAAACATGTGTCATATTTATGCGTATTTTGTTTAACCACATTAAAATCGGCCCGGAGCAGTAAAAAAATACATTGTTCTGATTGGTGGTGGTAGGTAATTCGGCTAGGTCAATGAAAAAAAAATGAATATTCTGATTGGTTGCTTATTTGACTAAGACCAAGGTGAGAAAAAGAAGATGGTGAGATTTCACACAGTCGTATCGATCACATGATTGAGTCATTAGGTAATTACTATATTTCAGGCTGATTATTTACAAGTAGTTCCTGTAGATTGATGGATCGATCGATGGCAGTTTGTGGCATTGTCACAAAATTAAGCTAAAAGATTTACTTGTATTCTATCTTTGTTAATGTATTTTTTAGCTTTTTATTGTTTTCCGTTAAAGAAAGGAAGTCGAAATTTGCAGTATTAGATGATATCGTCATTCTATGTCACAGGGGTTCTCATCAGCTGCACACACCTACCTGAAATTATTACAATGGTTATATAGACTGATAATAACATACTTTAATATTTGAGTGGTAGTAGAGAAGAGATACGCATCCGGAATGAAGGTATTACAATTTTTACTTTAAGTTTTTCATCATCAATTTATACGCTTTTAAAGTTGAAAAGAGGGAGGGGGAGGGGTAAGACAGAAAACAGAAAAAAATTGATTAACAGAACAGTGTTAGCTTGCCGGTTCACATAGCAACTCAAAAGACAAAAGTAGTTACAGTTTATGAGATTAAGATTTGTTCAGTGAGTTGAGATCACTAAATTAGATAGATGACTAATTAATGTAATCAAAATCGAAATTCACTTACCCAAGGAAGTCAGAGATTAATTACACTCTCTTTCTGTATGCATAAATCTGGTTGATGTGAATCGTTTGATTGGGATCACTTCAGCAAATCGTAGTAAATTTTGCTGTCCTTTGTCTATTTAATATTTTTTGAAGGACTTAGATATCTCTAGGAGATATCAACAGTATCAACAATATGTCTGGTAATTGCACTTTGAGAATGTTTGCTTCCTTTTAGGTGCAGATTTCTTAGAATATGTTCATAAAACCGGATAGAAGCCCTTCTTTCCGTCCTTCCAATGTACTTGCTCCCACAAGTGTACATAAATTCATAAACGCAGCGTATAAATTGATGATGAAAACTTAAACTAAAAAATTGTAATGCTTTCATTTCATTCGATTACCACTCAAACATTAAAGTATGTTATTATCAATCTATATAACCATTGTAATAATTTCAGGTAGGTGTGTGCAGCTGATGAGAACCCCTGTGATATAGAATGATGATATCACATTTTATACTGCAAATTTCGTCTCCCTTTCTTTATCGAAATTTATCAAGGGAACCAAATGTATTAAGTTTTTTATTGCTTCTTTTTTTAAATTTGTTAAAGCATGTTGAGTATGTGTTGAAGCTGCAAAAACTTCAGCCCTTTTTATTTTTGTCCACGAATTTCACGTGTTATCCCATATACACACACACACACTTTAATATATTCTGTTTATGCTTTCATTAACGTTAATGTGATTTTTGAGGGTAATTCTTTTTTTTTCTCGCTCTTTTTGTTGATTTGCTCCGAATTATTATTATTATTGCATATGTTATTGAACAGTATTCAAACTTGTGATTATGATTATTTTCAAAGCAAAATCGTTAAAAGAAAACGCGAAATTTATTATAATGATGATAAGGCTTAAAATGAATCAAAATGACACCTGAATAACTCCATTATGGATAGATAAGATTTTATTTTGATAAATCACACAGTGGAGTGTTATACAGTAATATTAACTGATGACCACACGTTTCGATCACAAACTATTGCCAGTCATAATCATATCAAGTTACTCACGCACACACCTTTCTTCCTTCATTTATATACATCAGTGAAAGCTGATGATTAGACATTTGAATAAAAATCAATATGAGATAATGTACATTCAGAAGTGATAATATGAGTGTTATGCGGAATAACTGTAGATGCCTTATATTATCTCTTATTTATGTTATCATTATTAGTTTCACCATATAAGGAGGGGACATCTGAGGCCCTCCTTATGTAGTAGGATTCTCAATAAAGCAGGAATTAGGGTGGTGGCATTCAAACCTACAAACTCACTCAGGCAGAGACAAGATCTGTGGGCTAAATGACCCGGTGGACCTAATTAGACAAAATAATATAATTTACAAAATGAATACCTTGCGATGACTGGCGGTCAAACAAAAACTTGGCACCAGTCAATGAAATCCACAACAGTTGGTCTAAGCCACGTAGGAAGGTGTAGACTTCCAGGCTGGGGTTCTCAGGACGGTAAAAATCTATGGTTGGAAACAATTGGTGACATGGCTCAAAATCGTTCTCAGTGGCGGAGATGCATCCACTCCTTTGTGACTTATGATCTCCAATGAAACTGTTTTGTTCTTCGTTATTACTCCTCCTTTGTCTCACACCTCTGCTTACAGTCTCTATTATGCTTTTCTTGTACTTTCTTCTCTTGCTTCGCGTGCTACACGGAGTGTGACGACTTGAACTTCCGCACATTTGTGCAAAGTTCTATGTCGAAAACAGACAGACAGTGAGTTACTGTCAACTACATAGGTCAAACTAGGGATAGTAAGATTGTTGGAACATAAGAATTTAGCTAAGGTTAGAATGGTTGATCTTGAGAAGATAATATATGTGTAAAACTTGGGCACTGTGGTATTAAGTAATTCCATATTAGTTTGATTATTAAATGTATCACACAGTGAAACAGTATTGTATACTGGATGACGTTTCGAACACAATTTATTGTTCATAATCATATCAATTTTTGTCACACGACTTCGAGATTTGATTTTTATAGTTTTCTCTGTCTTCTCCTATTTGTTGTATGGGCAGTAGAATTTTCCATATATCTGGGACAGGTGTTGAATCATTCCTATTACATGTATTTGCAGTTGATTCGATAAACAAAGCTTCTGTTATCAATCTCTCCCTATACCCTGTGACATTAGATTTTAAAACTGTCATCCTATCCCATCCTATTGTATGGTTGTGTGTAACTGCATGTAGTGCTATAGCTGAACTACTCTCTAGATTTCTTATCTTATTCGGGTCAACCAATCTAGATTTAGCTAGGTTTTTATGTTCGGCTAGTCTGACTGCCCCTGTTCTACTAGTTTGACCTATGTATTTGACCTCACAATCATTGCAGGGTATTAGATAAACTAAATTGTTTTGTTTTAATGGCTCTACAGGATCCTTTAACCGACAAAGCTTGTTTCTAATTGAGTTTGTGGGTTTGAATGCCACTTTTATTCCTGCCTTGTTAAGAATTCTGCGTAAGGCTTCCGAGGTTCCTTCTTTGTATGGAATTATTGTTGATGATTTACATTCCTTATTGTTGGTGTCGTTATTAATATTATTATTATTATTACTATTATTATTACCATTATTATTATTGTTATTATTATTGTTATCATTATTATTATTATCACTATCTCTGTTATCATTATTTATTTTATTTTTACATTTACTTACATATTTCTTGACTAATTTATCCGGGTAATTATTAAGTTTCAAGGCTTCTTTTATGTGTGTCACTTCCTGTCTTAGATTTTCCTTGGTACTACTTAGTTTTTGTGCTCTGTCATTTAAACATTTCACTAATCCTATTTTTACTGACATAGGATGGGATGATCGGAAATCCAAATATCTGTTTGAATGTGTGGGTTTTCTGTAAACACTAGTGTTTAGCTTCCCATCTTCTTTCCTTTTAACGTTGCAATCTAACATTGGAAGTTCCCCTTCCTGACTTTCCAATTCATAAGTGAATTGAATTGCCTCTACCTTCGAGTTGATGTGCTCGAAAAATCTATCTATATCTTGTGTTCTAAGTACAGTGAATGTGTCATCTACATACCTCCACCATACTTTTGGGGTGGGGGTGAACGTTTCAATCGCTATCTTTTCCCACCTATCCATGAATATATCTGCTACCACTGGGGATATT